GACGACAGACGACAGATAACAACGCAGGCAGGGTTACTTGACAACCCTTGCTCTTCTACCTCACAACTTCCTGATGCAGAACTTGTGCAAGGTTGGGTGCTAACGCAGTTCAGCATTCTACTTAGCGGTGTGACATGTCTGCCTTGCGTGACCTAGGAAGGAAGATCTCCCTGTTAGACCAGTTCCTTTGTGCAAAACGTCACGTGCACTGCCGTTGCTTGTTGTCGCATTGTCGTCAATCTCCCACCTGGGAATCGTAGAACGCGCATGATTGAACACTGGTACACATCAAAAACGCACTTCATTGTTCGCTTGGAACAACGTATTTCCAGGTTTTATATGCTGGTCGATTTCACGAATGCACAGTTACCATGGAAAGGAGTAACTAATATTAAAGAAGTAGGCTTCTACCACTTACCATAGGGCAGAAAGGGGCGTTCCAAAGTGCGCTGGGCAGCGGGTATGTGACAAAAGAATCGTAATTCACCGCGCTGGTGGGCGTCGCGTGCGACGTCGCGCCCGCAAATGACGATGGTTCCAGGTAGTAGATGGCGACAACAGGCAATTCAGAACCGAAAATAGTCATGAATGTCTACGATGACGGGGTCTATGTGAAGTCCGGTGCTCCAGTCGACAGGTTAACACGAGTTAAGAAAACGCCGCGCCATCGCCGCGCGCGGCGGAGCGGCCAATTACGATTCTCTTGCCCGTCTCCTCTGGGCAGCAGATAACGTATTCCTATACGGACTCTCCCATCTTATACACATGTCTGCTTCTCTCTTCTGTCTGGACCCTAGCATCACTTGCCGGGCGCACTTGGCAACGCCCCTTTTTGCCCTCCTATATGCACTGTATGTCAAATGCACTAGTTTCCACATTTTTACATAGGAGTCAGTCACATAGGCTCCTTTTGAGGTTGGAAAAACTAAAATGGAATCACGTCAAGAACCTCTTCTCAGTGCGATGATGAAACTATGTGCGAGAGAGGAATATCAGCAGGTGTTAGAGTGAGTCGTCGGCTGGAAGATGTCATCCTTTTCTATTGATCACAGGATTACTTTGGCCTTGTGCGAATAAAGCGCCAAGCTGGGATATCTTAAGATCGGGGATTTCGCGAATAGGGCCAATTCCGCCAAGTCGAATCGATTCCGCCAAGTCTCTCTCATTGGGCGAAGTCGACGGAATCGATTTATTTA